AGATATACAGGCCCAGCATGAGGATTAAAAAAGACCCCGTACACACACACACACACACACACAGTATATGTAAGGCACCCTGCATACGAATACCAACAAACCCTACAACTGATATGTATGTAAAAGGCAGGCCAAGATAAAAGTACATGTCATTGCTGGTACTGTATTAGGTTACAAAATGAAGCTGGTACACAACATGAATAGAAGACCCTAAACTTTTCAGTCCTCTTTCCTCTTGTTTAGTTTCAAAGACAAATGGATGGATGTCTTCCAAAGACAGGGAGGTCTATAAAGTTAAATGAAAACACTGCTCAACCCACACACTGATGCTTTAGAAAAGAGGAATGAGGATGGACTGTGAATTTTGCCCACTCCTTTCCAATAAAATTTGGCAAAATGTATCACAGAGCTCCCAGCAGCACAACTACAAATTTTCTCCTAGCTACAAAATTAGGAAGAGCTGGCAAACTCATACAAGAGGGGGTATGCATGCATCTAATCAAAATCTTTATTACACTGAAAGCACCAGAACCTAATCGCTTCTATATGAGAGGGACACAGCTCCTAACAGCATTATGTATGCTGAGACAATACTGTAATTATTTATTTTTTCTTTCCAAAAACACATGTCTGGACATTGCTGAGTGAGGTTGCCAGCTGTGTATCATTTGGACAAGGACGTGTCATAGTTGCATATTTCAAGGAAAAGCCCATGTAGTGTAATGGGATCATTAAAAGTCCATTTAGTCAAACCACCTTAGAGAAATGTGGTGGGAGAGGAGGGGTGGGGTGGGATGACAAGGCTGATATTATTTCTATGCAGATAGTGTCCTGCTTTTTATTTCTAAAGTGATTTCCCCTCGCTCCATCTGGCACCGGAGTCATGATTAAAGTGATGTGAGATTTTTTTCACTGGGAGACTGGTTTCAGTGAACAATAGATATGCTATTGACTGAAGAAGCTGCTACTGGAGCCCATTCAAAAGCATCTGAATGTCTCTGTCTATCACAGCCCTGTTAGGATAGAATTGGGGATCCCGTGCCATTCTGGCCCCTCCTTGTGTCAGTCTGAGCAGGCCTGTTCTCCGCAGATCACCTCCAATGCAGCAGTACCCGCCAGGAGCCTCTCCACCATCTTGGCTCTAAATGTGCCTGTATCTGTCTGTATGTGTCTGTTTATCAATACACTCTTATTCTTCTCCAGGGCGAGTGTAACCAGCCAAATCCACATAAGCTCATTATTAGAGGTAGAACAGAACTCCTGGCTCGAGAGCTGGCTCGACAACTGAGCAGCAGTTGTGTAGCTTCCAATTGCTGCTCGTGCATAACTGAGAGGTGCGCTGCCCAGCCTGTCTAAGATTGCTGCTGCTAATCAGGCTGAACAACAGAGTCATACAGCAAGAAGGTAAAAAGACACTGAGGCAGTGAAAGAGGTGCACAGTCAAGAAATTAACAACTTGTAATTTGTTGGATTGACAAAGCAAAGGAATCTGACTTGAGTAGAGAAAAAGGGAGAAAATCTAATACCTTTAAAGGTCTAGACAAAAGCTTTGACCCAACACAGCTGAATGTGCGCTAAGAGTAGTAAAGAACACATCAGAAACATGAAAATACATTTGTAGTCTTTGTGTTTCCACAAATACACTGGAGTATAAAGACTAGAGCAGTCTAATACTTAAAGAATACTGGTATGTAGTAGCTTGCCACTGAATAACTCACAGGCAGTGGTTACTCTGGCTGACTTTCTTTCAATAATGCCATAATTTGAGGGATACAAATATCTTAAGACAACATACTGGACTGCAAGGACGATGCCAAGATGCCTACGGGAAGGGCCAAGGCAGGCTTTATTTTTTAAGCTTAGTTCTCTTAATAAACGCAGCAAGGCGTTTGCATATCTTTTACCACTCTGTTGTCGTGACTGCAATATTGTTGCAATCTGCTGGGGCAGTAGCATCAGAGCTGGCAATGCAAACAAACTGAATATGCTGATCAAAAACACTTTGTCTGTGCTCGCATTACTCTCGAGCTGTTAACAGTTTGGAGAGGAGGATGCAGCGCAAACTGCTGTCTATCATGGAAAATGTCCTGAATCCCCTCCAAGATTTAGTAGTAAAACAGCAGAAATCTTTCAGTAATGTACTTGAGGATGTGCACTTTGGGTTCTGATTGACGTCCTCGGATGCTTAAAAGGTTCTGTAAACGATCGTCACTAACTCCAGATGTTGCACTTCACCACCAGTATCTAAGACCAAAACAAATGCTTCGTCGGCCACACCTCAGACCTCCCTTTGGCCACCACCCTTCACGTTCTCAGTTAGCAAAGTGTTACGAAGCCCAGTGAAAGTGGTCACTAAACACACAACAAAAAGCACAAATGAATAAAGTTACCTGTGTACTTGAGAGCCAACAAAATTAAAAAAATCCAGCCCCAACCATTAGCCCACACTAGCATTGCCATGATATGCTCCACAGCAATGTAAGCCAGCCAGCGATGGGAACATTTGCGGAAGATAGCTATCTCCTTTATATCTTTACATAGAAAATCATTGTTTACTGCTATGTGATTGGTCAGAAGTTTTACAATCAACAAATCATCTTTACAATAAACACATTACAATAAACTAGTATTGGACAGAAGAGACAACATATTGACAATTTAGCTAATTTTACTTTGTCTTGATCGTTGAATTTTCTACTGAAAAGATGGTAACTCCCCGCTCAGTTTGTCTTACTCAGACTGTTGTCGCCTTATATTAGCTTTAGCTGAGCTTAGAAAAGCATTTTGCACAGAGTAAGGACTGTGCATTTTGTCCCCCTTCACCTAGACTGGCTTTAGGAGTTGAGATGAAAGGCAAAACTAAGTGCAGACATGGTCTCTAACAGATATTGATGTCGGTGGCATCAGCTAAGGAGCTCAACTACTGAAGACCAAGAACAAGGACTTAAGATGTGTGGTCTGAGTCAAACTTAAGCTGACGTTTCTCTGTTTTTTTTTTTTTTTTACATGTATTGGTAAAAAAATCTTTACCCCAACTCTGAACCTAAACCTTCACCTGTCTGCATAAACAGGGGTGAAGAGCACATGTCATTTTACTTGACTAGTCCCTTAAATATTTATCCAAAATAAGAAGTGTTTGGGAGACTTATTTCTTACTGAACTGTAACAGCTCCCAGCTGGTTCTCCAGCCCTCCTGGTGGGCTTGCATTTATTCAAATGGAGTGGTTTGTACCCCTGTGATGTCGCAGCTTAACTGAGAACTAAGGCTGAGCCAACAGTTTGTATCCCATTGAGGTGATATGTCACAAGCTTCCTGTGCCTTTAGCTTTGTTTCTGTTAGAGATTTTTTTCTGGTGTGGTCTGTGAAGGCTAGATCAGTGAGAAAGGCTGACGAATGATGGTCGTCTGTTACTGGAGGTACGTCTGGGTTTTGTGTCTTGAATGGGCTCTGACTGGGTGTAACAAAAGCCACAGTATAATAAAGTAGTATAGTAGGTTTCTCTTTTATCAAGTTCAACAATTGAACATTTTTAATCCATTACCGTTCACTGCTTTTTGCAGTACATAGCTTTTGCTCGATTTAGCTGCACTGTACACAAAAGCTTCAAAGCACATCATCACCAGACATGAACCTCATTCAGTCTTTTGAAGTCCTGTTAGTGCTGAACATGAAGAGTGACGCTGCTGAACCGTTTAAAAAAAAAAAAATCAGAAGCTGTTATAGATGACTCCCTGTCTGTTGGTGGCATGTTGTTTGTCATGATCTCACAGTGAGTCTTTGGCCCTGAGGACACGTCATCACTCTCACCATTGACACCAACCAAAGTGATGTGTTTGCTAGACCTGCTTCAGTCTGAAAGAGGCATCCATCCTTCTCTTTCTAAGAAAGCTCACTTTGTCATTGAGAGTTGACCCACTGGTTATTCCAACGGTGTGTTATGGTGGTGTTTGTATATATTGTATGTATTTTAATTTGCAGACTAAGAAGAAAATTTAACCAGCATGGCAAAAACAACTCATTGCTCACTAGCTTCACTCGTCTTTAGCTGCCTTTCCCTCACGCATTGTCCCTCGATCTCTCTCAGGGGGAATTGTCTTCTAACGAATTAGACCGTTTTGTAGACTCACTGCCCAAGCAGCTCTACAAATTGGACAAACACACATATACACTAGTGCCCTTGCACACACACACACAAAACCTTGCCTCAGGGGAAATAAACCTCAGCCACACTGTGTTTGCAGCATTAATGGCCAAATTCTATATAGGCACCAGATTCTAAACCGAACAGAAAGGAGGAGTGAACTCTTGCACAGTATGGAGTCTGGAAAATGAACAGCAAAATAACGTCTCCAAGGAGTCTTCCCACAGAGAGTTCATTAGTTAAAGAGATAAAGAAGCAACCTGACAGCATACAAAGATAGGTGGACACATACCTTGCATGCACTACCCAAGTGCACACAGATTGCATAAAAACATATTAAAGCCCCTTTGTGAAAGCATTTAAATAATTTTGGTAGTTTGAAAAAGGTCAATACTATAATATGTCGTTTGTAAGTTCAGTGGCTATGTCCAACAAAAATCATAAGTACAGTGGACAATACTTTGAAAGATAATGAACTGCCCATACATAATTAACAGCTAGGAGCAAATGAGAATATACTCATCTTGCCTGTATGTTTTATTAATGCTCCTTTGCATCTGTCATATTACAGTTATCTATGCTATAAAGTGCTACATTATTCACGACAGTAAATGGAATGAATAGGTTTAGAAGATTCTCAAGAGACAAAAATCTTAAAGCAGGGGCTTGAACCTTGTGATAGCCGAGTACGCGCTGGACGTGCAGAGCAATGTACCGTTATTAAGTTGCACTAAGTAATTAACTATTGCATTTCAGCTGCTTCTCTTCATAAAAGGATGTCAAAGACTCTTGAGATCTTGTGAATTACTGTCCAACAACTACTATACACTGTAACTGCTTCTCCTCCCCCCCCCCCAGGAACACTTTACACCAGAGTGCAAATTCAAGGAGTCAGTGTTCGAGAACTATTATGTGACATACTCCTCCATGATATACCGGCAGCAGCAGTCGGGCAGGGGCTGGTACCTCGGTCTGAACAAGGAAGGAGAAATCATGAAGGGGAACCACGTCAAGAAGAACAAGCCAGCAGCCCACTTCCTTCCCAAGCCTCTTAAGGGTAAGACTGCACAGATCCACTTTTACATTTTGCTATACAACATTAAAAAGTCAGGTTACGCTTGATCAGAACTAGTTTGTACAATGTGTTGTCCGACCACGTGGGAAATCAAGTGTTTATAGCTGTTCCAAATGGCTACACTCAAAGGGGGAGTGAAAAGTGAAAAGAAAAAAAATCCCAGTGTGAGGCGAGTGTGACTTTCGGATTGTTGTTTATGGAGCGTTACAGGGTGCTTCCGAAACTCTCTGACCATCCAAGAAGCAGATCTGACGGAGAAAACTGGCAACTTGAGAAGAGTGTGGAGCTCAGCATCAGGGATAAAGTTGCTGTACCTACAAAATCTATTGAGAAACTTTCTTGACTAATCAGCAGAGTCACTTTTCTAGCTGGCAAAGGGTTGTTCTTCACTGTAAGAGTCCTTCTCTGAGAACCACTAGCTTGTCTGTTTAAATTTCCACATTTTCACTTCCAGTCCATGTGGATATTCATTTACTGTAGACTAAAGGAGCTGCTTTCTACACGACTCTCTGCTGTTCATCAGTCTCCTTAGAGATGCTGGCATGGACCTATTCAGTGGCTTCCTCTAGCTGGTTACACTCTGCTGCAGACACAGTGCAGAATGAGGCCAAGCCATTGTCTGTGACCAGAAGCAGCAGGAACAATATGTTTAATGCTTTGAATAGTAGCACCTAGGACTTTATTTTCTTTACAGTAAAGTCATAGAGAACCCCTCCCATCCAAAATATGCGTGTGGTAGTATGGCTATAGAGAACAGAGGAAAAAGAGTGGAGAGATGGAGAAATGGTTCTGTTCTCTCTGTTGAAAAGGCCACAGTCCTTTCATCTTCAACAAGACACAGATTTACCTGTCAACAGAGAGGAGACGCAAAGAGAGTGTCTGTTTTCACTTCAGTGGGATAAAAGAAAAGATTTTTTCCTCTTTTTTTCTGCGTAAGAAATGAAAGGCTTGCAGTGCAAAATACTCAAACAATGACGAAAAGAGGCCTTTTTTTTTTTAGATTGTTGATTGTTGAGTACAGTTTGGATTTGTCACATGGGATTCCATTTATAGTTTCACTACATTCTTTTGTGTGTGCACACATTAACATGCCTACTGGCACTGCAGAGTTATTACTGGTATCTAACAAGGTAAAATGATGATTAGGTCATAAACCTAGTGCAAGCATTTGGTTTAATGAAGTATCAGATAAAGTATTTTATCATATAATGATACAGGATTAGGTGAATTGGGTAAAATTTAAATGATTAACATTTAAGTATAGGCACTTTGTTATCAGTGTATACGTTGTTTACTTCAAGCGAGTTGTTGCAGTTTTACTTTAAATTTTCTGTATGGTATTTTTTCATTCATATACTTCTTTCAATATCTTATGGTAAAAAAAATCTCAGAATTTTCTCTACCCTCTGCAGAGAGGGTTGATGTAGATCGTTGCAATCTTCTGAATACACTTAAAAGCAATAGCCAGAGAACGATTGCCTTGCTTTATGCTGAGAGAGAAATACTGAGAAAGACAGAATAAAAAGATAGATATAGGCTGGATGAGATAGTAATTATAACAGATTCCGAAAACCATTGCCCTTCGGCTTCCTTTATGTATTTCAACTAAAAGCAAAAATATAGTATTTTTGAAGTTCAACATCAAATCCACATGGCTGCTAGCAGCCATGTGGGGGCCAAGCAGCCCAGTATGCCAGAGTTGCCATGGAAACATGATGTCATTAAGTCAAGGGCATGGTTGTAAGCACTCACAGCAGCAAGTTTCATGTCAGTTGATTAAAGATTGGCTGAGATATGACTTGATTTCTTGTTTGGCACCTTCACCGTCAATTTCTGTTGGCTCAGAATTGTCAGGCTTGGTTTGAAGAACATCTGTGTCAATTTTGGTAGAAACCAGACATGGGAATTTGATTTTAAGGCAAGAGCATCAATAGCTATAAAGGCAAAATGTTTATTTTCTTATTGCAGCACCCCCTAGAGGTCAAAGAACACCAGATTTATTGAGCTACCTCCTGATGTGGCCCTGAGTCCATGTACAAAGTTTAGTTTTCATACATAAAAGCATTACTGAGATATGACCTCACTTCCTCTCTGGTGGCTTTGTCACAATTTGTGATTGGCTGTGACAATTGAACGCTTTCGAAAATCAAAAATCCATATAATAACTTTTGTCAGGCATGGTCTGAAGAGGATCTGTGCCAATTTTAATAGGGATTGGACCAAGCTTGTCTGGGGAGTAACAAAAAACACTTTACCATGAAATCCAATAATGTAGGGAATCCAATGTGGCAGAAATTGACACCATAGTGTGCATAGCGTTCAAAAGTATCAGGGGAGTGTCCCCAATCAGTGTGCCAAATTTACCATATGATTGCAGGGGCTGCCATAGACTCCCAAGGCAAAAGATGAAGAATATGATGAATAAGAAAAGGTAGAACCACAAAGGGTGCCTGCACAGCTTGACCCCCCCCAAAATATGAACTGAAATATCCATTCAACTTCTGTTGTAAGACATTCTCCATCTTTTTCACAAACTTGAAATTACTGCACAATATTTACTAATTCTTTTACATAATTTAAATTCCAGATGCAGCTGGTGGTTTTGAAAGAGCTCTGTGAGGGAAGGAGAGAGAGGAAGAGAAATAAAGCAGAATTTGTTCCAGCAGCTCATAAAGATTCACAGGCAGTGGTGTTATAGGGCACCAATTAAGAAGCTGTCTCTGCATTGGCAGTGGCATCTCCTCCAGCCATTACTCACTACTCTTCTGGTTCCAGTCTGTGAGCCTCAGCCCACAGCCTCTCATTCTGTCTTCCTCTGGATGAAACAAGTTCAACTCACGTCATTCAAACCCAAACAGGAAAATCCTCTTAGAATTCTTGCAGAAAGCCTGGATGCAAAACACAAAGAGCTGCCTTTATTGGGATAGTGTGTAGTCTGTCAAGTGGCGTCTGTCACAGAAACACAGTGAGGTTTGTGTAGAGGAATGTGAAAAATGACTAGGTGGATGGGGATTTATGTTTAAAAATAAATAGCAGCAGTGGTGTTGTGGTGGAGGAGATACACTAATCCTGAGGTCAGCTGCCCACCATTATAATCATATAATACTGTTATTGACAAGACTGGTACCAATCATCAGCAGTTTCCCAGAGAAACCTTGCCATTGATTGACGTGTGTACACAAGGATGGTCTCTGGATTGCTGCTGTAACAAAAAATGCTGGGCTAAGTGAAGTGTCTGAAGGACTGCGTTTGCTGTTTCAGGCACAGATTCCCTTAGGAATGAACATCAAATAGCATTCTAGGCAGAAGAATGTTGACAACATCCTGAAACCAAAGACTGTGAACCTCAGATTACTGATATTTCTTCTGAAAAGTGACTGCTGAGGTGCAGATTGGACCAATGCTGCATACACAGCAAAGCTAAAGCACTGGCAACTCCTGAATTTATAATGCTATGCTGTGCATGTAGGATTTTTTTTTTTTTTTTTTTTTTTTTTTTTAAAACGATAAATTACTGGTCTGCTGTGATCTCTCAATTCAGCAGTCTACAGGGAACTATAAGTAAAATCTCATGTCATACTATCAGAGGACTTGTTCTAATAACCAAAACAGAGTGCTATTAAACTTTTTTCAATGTCATCTGTATACTATAAGTATACAACTATTAGTTTTCTGTTATGGTTTGTCTCATGTAAAAAAAATAAATTAAAAAAAAGTCAGTTTGTCTGATCTGATTTACACTTGTCTTGTGTTTCCACAGTGGCAATGTACAGAGAGCCATCCCTCCATGACTTGACAGAGTTCTCCCGCTCCGGCAGCGGCACGCCCACCAAGAGTCGGAGTGCCTCGGCTGTGCTCAACGGAGGCAAAGCTGTGAGCCAGAATGAGTCGACGTAGCCCGGTAGCCGAATCCAGGCCTGTGGCCGAACCACGAAACCTTACCTCCAGCAGAGCGTGAATCCAAGCAGACTTCTCTCACCGATCAGCGGTTCAGGACTAGCTACGACAACTAACCACACACAAACACCCAGACAGCATCAATAAAAAATAAAAAAAAACCACAGTTAGGTACCATCCTGATCAATCATTGTTTCCGTCTCAAAACAGCATCAAAAGTAAGAAACTTAACAGCACATAAACCATTCTGGACTTAAAAATAAATTAAAATTTTTCTTTTGGGCTTGAGATTTATTTATTACTTTGATCACTCTCTTTCGGTGATGATTGCGTACCACTTAGCTCATCTTTATCTTATTTTATTTTTCTTAAATTTCCTGCGGACAATAACTTTTTCTTAGGTCATGTAGACACCAAGCACTCGTGCATCTGTCAGACAGGGACAGGAAGTTAGACATGTAGGCGTTCAGGGCAGCCAGTAATGGTGCTGGTCTACAAGGCTGCAGTGGTACAGTACAAGCCCTGATCTCTGTCTCATCCATGCTTCTGTGAATACAAAGCCTATAAACTCCCTGGTGTGGCACAGCCTAGAGCTGCTGGGACTGTGGCCAGCCAGACGGTAGCTCTCCTGCGTCCTAGTGCACACGCTCAGAGACTGAGCTCTCTAGCATGGGAAAATGAAGCCTATGTTCAGCTGACCTGAAATATAAGGGACAGTGTGGCTCTCTTGCAGTTTTTTTTTTTTTTTCTTTTCAGAGATGCCACAGCTGCACCTTGTTGGTTTTTTTTTTTTTTTTTGCTAATTTTCTGAATTAGCAGAGAGCTTTTTATTTGATAACTGGTTTTGTTTTGTCCCCTCTTGTTCTCTTCCCTTGTCATTGTTCAGTATTTGTATTTTTGTTGCTGTTGCATCATTGAAAGGGGTTCCAGCACACCAAAGACAGAACGAAAGAGTTTCCCTTTAAGCCGCTGAAAACCAAGCCAGTATAGAGGCAGAAAGCTGGAATTTTTTTTTTCATTGTACATTATTGGTGAAAGAAAGCAAAGATTTTGAAGGAAAAAAAAAAGAACAATGGACAAAGGAAGTGATTTTAAACACTTTGGAGTTGGCAGCGTGCTTGATGTTGTGCTTTTTGCTGATATGCTCAATGATCGAAGTATGAAACGATTACTCTGTGTCCCCATTCCCTTCTGTTACCGCTGTGTTCACAACGTCTCCGTCTCTTGTCCTCGTGATCTGTTTCTTCCCTCTGTGCTTGTGTCATACTTCGACCCCCCCTGCCATCCTTTTTTGTGGACTTCTCTTGACTGATACAGTTCACCATAGGAATATGGTGCAAGCCCCTTCCCAGGATGCTTGTTATGTGTTTGAGTAACTTATTGTGGTGACAATATTTTCTATATTTAAAAAAAGAATACTGTGGACTTTTAGGTGGCTTAACATTTTATAGGACACGTCATATTTGTAAAAGTGAAAAAAAAAAAAAGAAAAAAAAAAAAAACGTACAAAAACGAACATCTTCCCTTTCTTGCACAGGGCATGTACAAACACAATTATGTACAAAAAGGACCCTTTTTGTGGGCTATGTACTCTTCCCTTCAGCTACATAACTTCTTTCTGGTACATGCTTCTGGGAGGCTTTCTTTTCTTGGTTTCCTCCGGAGGTGGTTTGTATTAGGTGAACCTATCTGTTGCATGGGAGAAAGCAGGGAAATTCTGGTCTAGAGCTGCATGATGTAGGCTATGTGTATTAACCCATGTTGGATCATGTGTTCCAAACTACCAGGCTAAATCTGATAAAACAACATATACAGGCAGACATTGTGGCTGTCTGATAACTTCCAGTTGTTTATTATTTGTTGTATACACAAAAATGCACTGAATAAAATGTTTATATTAAGATATACTTTTAAAATGTGTCAGACTTTCTTCTTTGTCCTATTAATTGTCTTATTTATTGCGCCGAGCAGCCATCGCAATTATAGAGAAGACTGGGTTTTGGGAATTAGATTCTAGTTGGCAGGATCTGTAATAATTGGTGGTGTAGATGGTGGGAATCATCTGCGCTGCATTCTAGTGTGAAAAGCTTGCTCCCTAGAGGAACCCCTGAACATACACTCATTCCCGGCAACTTTCCTATCTGCGGACGCCAATGTATCACGTAGAGGCGGGGTATAACCATAATTGCCTCAGAGTTGAGGCTGGTGGTCAGGTTCGTAAGGCTCATTCCATCTAATAAATCAATATCTCCTTTGGATTTGAAAAGCTGAAGACTAGATACCTGGAAATTGCTCTGCTACAGTGGCTTTTCCCTGTGTCTGTATGATTGTTACCTTGACTCAGTAACATCACATATTAAGTAAGATCACTTTTACTTCTTTTCCAAAAGGCTGACCTTGAGATTGGTTTTAGTAAAAATGTTTCAAATTCTCTCATCCCAGGGAAGAAATCACGCTTGGGCCAAGATCACATACCAAGACCCAACAGCCTCAGGAATCCTTCTTAGTGTGAGGAACTGCAGGCTGCACAAGATCAAATATGTCTTTACTTAATAATTAGGCAAGTACCAAAAAAAAAAAACGAAACAACAACAATCCTCTTTGATGGGTTAAATTAGAACAGTTCAGCGCTATAAGGTCTTTGTATGTGCAGAGAGGATGTGACACGAGGTAGTAATTACCTGGCGAGTCTGTCAGTGCTAAGAGAAGCTGGGAAAGAATGAGCTGAATGATGGCATGACACTGTGTTAACCTACCAGGCTCTGTTAATAAGGTCAGCCCTCTCCCTCACTGTCTCCGTCATCTCGGAAAGAAGCACTTTCTTTAATGAGGGGTTTTGTCCATGATCACTCTGCTCTGATCGTCGCCCACAGTGCATGTCAGGAATGATAAGGGTAAAGGGTTTCAAGATGTGACAGAAAGAATGAGCAATGTAAGAGAAAAGTCCAAATACAAGAACACTGAAGGTTTTCTGAATTAATTTTATGAATAAAGATGTTTTTAGGATAATAAAAGAAAAAGAAAATAAGAAATAAAAGATTACATTAAAAATAAATGACTGACACCTTTAAATCTCTTATGTGATGACTATTTCTAAAAAAAAAACAAAAAAAAACCTGCGGTCGAAAAATTCAGATTTTCTGTCCAGAGAGCCGCTAATGTGCAGACAGTTATCATCTAGACCTTTGAACACCAATAAGGACCATGAAAAAGAAAACTACAGAGAGAGTGCATTGGGATGGACAATGGATGGATTGTTATTCTGAATCTTAAATTAACAAATACTGTTGCGAACTAACTCAGATATAGAATGACCTTTAAAAATCCTTACACAGGTATAAAGATATACAGCAAGTCACTGAGTCATGTCATTATACAAAAGTGTAAGAGCAAAACAGACTTTTTCTGGTTGCTACAGCCTATTGTACAACTCTAGAATAAGCTCACTCTTATAGAGTAGGCATCAATTTGGTCTTCAGAGACTGCCTCATTACGCCCATTGCCAGCACAGACAGGAGAACTAATAGGCCCCTGTAATATAGGCCCTGATATGAGCTACTTCATCGTTCATGTAGTTTGACATCCCCCTACTCCCTTCATTTCCTTTTGCCCATCTCTAGACTCCATTCATTAGCATGGGACAGTCCAATTTATTAACTGAGGCTGCCTTCCTTGTTCAGAGATGGTGATATGAGGAGCTCTCTCGCTCTCTCTCTCTCTCTCTCTCTCTCTCTCTGACCAGTTATTCTGCCCTTCACTTGGTCAGACTAATGAGTCTTCATCTGGACGGTGTTAAGTCTCATGCACAGAGACACACAGCCACACACACACATACGCACATGAAGTAAATCTATTGCCACTCCAATGTGCAAGGATTTGAGATCTTCAGTGAGAGCAGTCTGATATAATCTGTCACAAATCATACAGAGCTGATGGAGCTGTGATATGCGAGCACTGTGTACCTGTGAATGCTATAACTCATTACCCTTTATCACTGCCAGCACAGGCTGGCTGGCTCCATTCCTCTCTCCCACCCAGCCTCTCTTTCTGTCTCTCTGTCTTTGTCATCTCCTTCACAAATGCACGGGTGCTTTGTTTTAATTTTCAGTGCATGTGTCATGTGCACAAATCACACAAATGTTTCTATAAACTGCTTGGCCGAATGGCAAGGCTCATAGCATGATCTTTTAAATTATTGATGCATTAATATTTAATAAAATATTCATTAACGCTTCACATAAACAATAAAATATAATGCTACAGTAAAGAAACCACCATTAATCATTTATTAACAAATTACATTCACAAAGAACAATTTACAACCCCCTCATATGGCAAGTAGAAGGATTTGTATCAATCAATAGATTCACCTGTCTAAAAGTCAAAGCTGAAAATTAAATCCATTTCAAATCCATATATTGTTCATATTCTTTCCATGCCATTGGGATTAGGAGTTCTTCCCCCATACAATGCTGATGTTATAAATGTGTATTGTTGCATTTTATGACCCTTTTTTTTTTCTTTTTTCTTTTTTTTTTTTTTATAAAAAACAGTGTCGTCACAAGAGTTACGTTATACAGAAAACAATTTTCCACCTGCCAGTCAAAAAGTCATTGCATGAAATTACTCTCATTATGAAACAAGCTGGAATGATTTGCTCCTTGCATTCTGCACACAATTTAATGTCCAGCAAACTGGATTAAGTGCAGCTACCAAGAAATATTGATGCTTTTACAACCTATGAGAGAAGACAAAGACAACTGAATTTAATTGACTGGCTGACGCAGAAACCTCCCACGAGGGGCAGCTGCAGCTCTCATTTACTTCTCTTCCTCTGCTCCCTCTCCTTTATCTGTTGGTTGTAGACAATTTAGTAATCATCTACTCTATACATTGATATGCTATTTACAAATGAAAAGGGGAAAATGGAATTTACATGTTTGGTCTGTTGGAACACGAAGCTTTATTGTCATTGCTCACAGAAAAAGGACTACACCAAAACAAACAGTGGGGAGGAATTGCTATAAGGCTCAAAACCCTGGAGACATACCAAGTGTAAATCGACAGGAGTGGGGACAAAGAAAAAGTGAGAGGGGAACAAAATAGGATAGAAATGCTTAACAGTGACCCAGACAGCTAGTGTTAGGAAACAAAGTTGTATATAAGACCTCCTGGGGAGAAATGAGTGACACCTGAGATTAGTTATTGTGTAAAAACAGTGCACGGCGCTGGCACATGACAGACAAAACAAACCCAAAAAATAAGCCCATCAGGTGACGGTAGTCAAACACAAAGGCTGACTAACATTTTGCATGCCTTTGGCTCATACGAGAAGAAAAAATGGCAGGTTGAAAAACTGACGAAATTGAATGAAATGTCCCACTGCTAACCCTGTTTCGCCAGGCCTCTCACTTCCTAACACCGAAGTGTTCTCTGTGAGCCAAGAATCCAAATAGAGTTTACTCCTATTTGTCCCTCTAACAACCTCTCTTCCATCATCCTTCTTGTGTGCCCCTGGTTGGCACAGAAAAGACAGTAGCTTCATTCTCAACTGATTACCCTGAGCAGAGAGTGTCTCACACCTCTGCTTATCAGCGCTACCAGCACATCAGAGCACCAGGGACAGCCAGAAAAGATGGGAAAGACACGCTGCCCAGCGAATGCACATTGATAACATCTACCACAAATAGCATCGGACATTACTGTTTCCCCCATTAGGGGTGCACTACAGCTGGGGTGTCACCTCCTGCTTATTCTTCAGGCTATAGTTGGATTTAATGTGGATTGTTTATCAGAGAAGGGAGCTCAACCCATTTGTGATAACTGAAAAAGAAACTAAAAAAAAAAGGTAAGAAATCAGAACATGGAATTTGTGACAGTTTTGTCTTGCGTTGGCTCCGTTCTCCAGTACATCACATTGAATTTACAATGACGCACTGAGTATAAGGTTACAGAGCTGACTTTAAGCCTTGAGCTGAGGATAGTTACATTTACATCTGATAAACAGGGTATAATATGTAGCCCTTTTCATACATAATTCATCAATTTAATTTAACTTTCCTCAGTTTGGTAGGAATTAACTCTTTGGATGCCAGTTCTTGAGACATTTCATTCTAAATCACAAATGTCAATCTTGTGGTGGTGCTACAGGAGAAGTCAGAGGATCATCAAGACCATTATATGCTTCGAGGAATCATGAGTGTCTGTACAAAATGCCAATCCATACTGCAGATGTTGAGACATTTCACAAAACAAAAGTGGTGTCGGTGGTGTTGCTAGATGAAAATGCTAGATATTAATGGAAATCATCCTCTGGAACTATGATTTTCCAGACAAAATATCATGTAAATCCCTCCACTAGCTCTTAAGATATTCCAGTCTGGACCAAAGTGATGGACCAAAGTGATGGATCAACCAGCTGAGCGACCAACATCATCTTCTCTATGCATGCAAGGCTATAAGGTATCACTTCTCATGAGAGGAAATCACAGCTGCTGATTTGT